TGGAAGGGATGAGCCCTGCTGTGTGAGCGTGTGTGTGTGTGTGTGTGTGTGTGTGTGTGTGTGTGTGTGTGGGGGGTGGGTACTTGAAGTCCATCACTGAGAATTCACCAGGGCATTTATACAAAGGTGGCTCAGTTCAGTGCCCCTTTGTCTGGGCATTCCCCCCCACCACACACACCCCAGCCGTCGTCACTCCAGCCTTTAACACAATCATCAGTCATATGGCAACACAACACGTGTAAGAGAGCCCCCATTTGTTGCTGAGATAATAATTATTCATGCTGCGAGGGCCAAGAGACACAGCGACAGACAAGGAGAAGGGGAGGTGGCCCCAAGGTTTTCTAGTAGTGCAGGTGAAACTCAGCTAAGACAAAGCCCCGGTGTTTGCTAGGGATCCGCAGCGATTCCCATGCGTGTCCTGGCTTCGTTGGGGACGTGGTGGGAGAAACTTCTGCCTCTTTTGTGCAAAGAGACTTGGTGCTAAAATGGCATCTGCACGGCGGAGGGCCCGGGCGGGTCGGGGGGAGTCCTGGATGAGCCCTAAGCCCCCCAAGAGCTGATTTGCATCGTGTGGTCTGTCTCCATTGGGTTCGTAGAGGGGACAGATCAAGGTGCAGGGCGGGGTGAGTATTATCAGGTTTGGCCAGGGATGGAAGGGGGTTCTGCTTCTGGCTGCTAGACCAGGGTCAGAGCTTGGAGAAAATCCTTACCCCTGAACGCAGAGATGGGGCTGAACTAAACCCATGGATCTGGGGACATCTGGACCTGAACCTGGGCCTGGTCTAAAGAGTGTAGGTTGTACCCATCCCTGCCCAAAAGGCTTTGGGCCTGATGCTGAGTTATTCCATCTCTGCACTTGGGGACAAGGGTAGGGGGAGGTGGCTTTAAGCCCCCTTTGTGCTCCCCATATTCTGTGCCTGGCCCCCAGTGTCACCTAGAGCAGCCTCAGGGCTGCTCTAATTCATATTCTGCTCCCCATGGAGCCTGGAGGGCAGAGAATAGCCAAAGCGCAGTGCACTCCAGCCATACCCCCGATCCACCCCCTCTGGGACCTGGGGGAGGGGGGCAGAGAAGAGCCACAATGCAATGCACTCCAGCCATGCCCCCAATCTGCCCCATGGGGGCGCTGTTTCAACAAAATGGAAATATTTTTCAAAATCATATAAAAAACCGCCCACGAAAAGTTTTGATTTTTCCTATAGAAACTGACTTTTCATTTCAAAATTTGCTTTCTTTTCTATATATGTAAAATAAAAATGAAATGCTTTGATTGGCTCAACATGAAAGTTGGGGGGGAAAGGAACTTCATTTCACGAAAAAGTTCTAAATTTTGGCTTTTCCTCCTGATGTGGGATGGGGAAAAAATAAACAGAAACCTCAACATTTCTCCCAGGGCAGAAAATCAATTTTCCAACCCTCTGTAGTTCCCATCAGACACCCAGACTGGTTACATGCCCCAAGGATCCCTCTGCAGGATGGGGGAATGGGAGACATCTGATCACCCTGGAGCAAACCCCTCTACATCTAGGCCTCCCCTGGCTTTGACCAGCGGGAGCCCATTAGCACATCCAGCCCCCAATACAAGACAATTCAGACCTTAAGCTAGTCTGACTACTTTCCAGCTGCAGACCTCAAAGCATGTTTCAAAGGAGGTCGGTATCATTATCCCCATTTCACAGATGGGGAAACTGAGGCATGGAGCAGCCCACAGTCACGGATGAAGTCAGCAGAAGAGTTCTGCCTCCACAACCACCTGCCCCACCACTAGACTCCACTCCCTTCTCAGAGCTAGGAACAGAACTCAGTAGTCCCGGCTACCAACCCCAGGAATAAGAACCCAGGAGTCCTGGCCACTAATCCTGGGCTCGAACCCCAACCCCAGGAGTCCTGACTCCCAGCCCTGTGCTCTACCCATTAGACCACCTCGATCCTGTCTGTTTCCATTAGACAGTCACAGCTTGGATCTTGCAAACTTAACGAGAGATTTGCCTCTGGCCTCAATGGAAGCCGGATTGCTGGGCGTAACAACGGTGAAATGGGAGGCACCTTTCCAGCCTCTGATGCACCGGACCTGGTAGAGCATCGCCTTGTGATTCTCACTGCAGCCCACCAGGTCACGTTGCTCATGCATTTTAAGCCGCCGCACGGCCTGGCCACCTGATTGGAATTTATTTCCAGCGCGTATCCATTATTCATGTTAGTACACAGCTCGCATCGCTCCTACCTGCGAGAGCCCGAGGTAAATAGACACCGTCTCGGAGATGTAAAGAAACTTCCCCTCTTGGTTTAGTGCAAACACAAACCCGTCCAGAGACTGAGAAGAGAAGAGAGAGACAGAGAGAGAACAAATTTACTATGCAGCTCACTTGGGCCGGGCACCGGCGACGCCAATGCTTTCAGTGCCGGTGGGATTAGCTCGCCATCGCAAAGGCTTTCTTGTACACGCTCCGCGCCCCAGCGAAGTGACTCGATTTCCAGAGCTGGCCACCGCCTGCTTGGGTTTGCAAAGACGACAACTCAGTTCCGGGGGAGGGGGACGAGGGGACAGCTGCGTGCTCGAAATAACCCAGTGGATGGGAAAGCCAAGCTGGGACCAAAGCCCCCATGAAAAGCCGCAGCTTGGGAAATTGCTATCTCCTGCCTGTCTGTGTCCACCTGGTGTCGCCTGTCTTATACTCAGGATCATCTTTTTGTTCCGTATTTGTACAGCGCCTGGCACATTGGGGTCCTGGCCCATAATTGGGGCTCCTAGGTGCTACCGTAATACACCTAATAGCAATAAAAATGTACAGCGCTTGGCACAATGGGCTCCAGGTCTCTGACTGGGGTGCCAAGGTGCTACCATAATACACCTAATAGCAATAAAAATATACAACACTTGGCCCAATGGGGTCCTGTCCTCTGACTGGGGTGCCTAGGTGCTACCGTAATACACCTAATAGCAATACAAATGTACACCGCTTGGCACAATGGGGTCCTGGTCTCTGACTGGGGTGCCTAGGTGCTACCGTAATATACCTAATAGGAAGAAAAATGTGCAACGTCTAGCACCATGTGGGGGCTGGTCTGTGACTGGAGCACCTACGTGCTACCGTAATACACCTAATCAATAATAATCACCATGGTTTGATCCTTTCGCCGTGCTATGGGAGGCCCCAGGTGCCTTGTCCCATCTCCAAGCGCTCACCGTGGCCCGGGCCCAAAAGGAGATCTCAGCCTACGTTCCACAGACCATCATCAGAGCATCGTGCGGGGCCGACGAAATGTCCTCACTGCCAGCCCCAGAGGCTGACAGCAGCTGTGCACCCACAGGGCTCTGCAGGGCAGGATCCGCAGACACCCTGTTTGCTCCCCCATATGCCTCACTCTGATCCGAGCTCTGGCCTCCCTTCTGACGTGGCCGGCTGTTGCTCATTTCACACCATCTATCAGGTGGCCACAGCTTTGGGTTTCCATTGCCTTGGGTTAGTTCTAACCACCGAGTCCAAGGCTGCGCTTCCCTTTATCCAGCCCCCTGAGCCCTCAAAAGCAGCTGTTTAAATAAGGCCACATCTGGCCAGATGTGTGGGTGGGGAGGGGGTCCAGGAGACGAACCTCCCCCCGCAGCTGCCGGCCACCATCGCAGGTACTGAGCGCACTGTCTGGTTTCAGGAGCGAGGGTGAATGGGGCACCCATGGAGCTGTGTGGGCCGGTCCCAGGGCTCAACACACAACAGCCTCAGCCCCTGACGGTGTTTAAAATGCCGAGCCGTGACCTGGTGGCATGGCCCTCCCCCCTTCCACCCCAGTTGCTCAGGGGAAAGCGCTGGGCTGGCTTTCAGATGAGATGCAAATTGATATCCCGCTGCAATTTATGCAAGAGACAGGAAGGTTAACGCTGGTGTCCTGGCCAAATTCCAGCCTGGTTGATTGTCTCTCACCTCTTTAAATTCCCCTGTCAGTGGGTGCAGGATTGCTCTTCATGGCCTGCCCTAGACTGGCATGCGGCCTCGTCATCACACAGCCCCTGCGCCCCTCCCCACAAGCGGCTGCCTCTGGGCAAGGGATTCCTGTGTAAACAGCTGCTGCACCCCACCCCAGAGGTGGCCGCATCTCGACAGCGTGTGAGCGATCCCTGTATAAACGTCTGCCATGCTGCACCCCAGAGGTGGTTGCATCTCAGCACTGGATGAGACATTTTTGTACCAATAGCCCCCACTGCCCCACCCAAGAGGCAGCCCTAGCTCAATACCAGGTGAGGGAGTCCTGCATAAACATCTGCCACATCCTACCCCCGAGGCAGCTAAGTTAAGGTGCCCTGCAGGGAGTCACATTCAGGAAAGAAAATCCTGGCATTTCAGCACCAGATGATAGTGCCCTTTATAACCAGCTGCTGTACCGCACCCAGAGGCAGCTGCATTTCAGTGTAGGGTGAGGTTATCACAGTCTGTTAAGGCACTTTGGGGTCCTTAAACCACCCTCCCCCACCTGGGTTGATTAGACTGACTACCGGGCCCATTTGTGATGGCCCAAGCCAGGATTTATCCCACTGAACAGGACACCCTGCCGTGCTCCTGAACTGCGTCTGCAAAAGGAGTCAAGCTGCCTCTAAGGGCCAAACTCCACCCTGGTGTAACTCAGTGTCATTACGCCTGTTTATGCCATGGCTGGATTGCACGATGGAGCTCTGCCCCCAGTCAGCTGAATGGCGTGTTAACCCTGCTGCCCAATGACACCCCCCCCAACAACATTGTTAACCCTTTCAGTGCTGGCCGCCTGAGGTGGAACAGCCACCATCACGCTGAGGGCTTTTTTCCCCACACCCGGGGGGGAGGGGTGGGCACCCCATAGATTAAGAAGACCCATGGAGCTACTAGAGTGCACAATACTCTGATGTACACAGTGTGCACGTGATTCCCAGCCTGGCCACCAGGGGGCACTGGACAGCCCAGACAGGCTTGCCTGGCTCTCTGCTTCATGCAGTTGTACAGTTGGCTTCAAACTTGGGTGATTTTAGGTGGCAGATTTCTTTACCCCACCCCCCATCCCCAATCCCAAGCCGTGGCTGGCCTTGATTTCCTGGTCTAGTGAACTGAGCACAGGATTGGGAGCCAGGATGCCTGGGTTCTCTCGCCAGCCCTGGGAAGGGAATTGGGGGCTGGGGGGGTTAGAGCAGGGCGGGATAAGAGTTAGGACTCCTGGGTTCTATTCGCAGCTCTGGGAGGGAATGGAATGAGCTTAGAGTTGGCAGGGAGGGGGCTGGGAGCCAGGACGCCTGGGTTCTCTTGCCAGCCCTGGGAAGGGAATTGGGGGCCGGGGGGGTTAGAGCAGGGCGGGATAAGAGTTAGGACTCCTGGGTTCTATTTCTGGCTCAGGGAGTGGAATGGGGTCTTGTGATTAGAGCAGGGAGGGGGCTGGGAGCCAGGACTCCTGGGTTCTAGCCCCAGCTGTGGAGAAGGATGTGGTAGCTAGCATTTAGAGCAGGAGAGGCTGGGAGCCAGGACGCCTGGGGTCAATTCCAAACCCTGCCACTACCCTCGCATGGGACCTTGAGGTGAGTCCCTCCACCACCTTGCAAGCAGGGATAAGGTCACTGGGCCTGCTTCTTGGCAAAGCCCTAGGAGGAGCCGGACTCAGCACTGCTGGGAGGGCCCCACAGACCGACCCGAGGGGGCAGGGACGACAGGCGAGCTCCGGTCTCTGATACAGGCAGTGCGTGCGTGCGGAGCCAAGGAACAGGCACAATTGTTCTGAATGCCGCCGCCTGAATACATTTGTGCCAGCACAATCCCCCCCCACCTACCCTGTTATGGAGAGACATGATAATAATGGGAGATGAATGCCACTGACAGTCACGTTAATGCTCAGCCGCGTTAATTACCGCTGCCAGACAAAATTGCTTTTTTATCAAGTGGTTGCGATGAGCCACTCACAGGTCAACAGTAATTAAACACTTGACACCCTTTTTGGGGGAGTGGGGTGGCTTTCATGTGATGGGGAATTGATGTGGTGGGGGGAACTACGCACACACCCCCAACAGATTATTCCTATGTCAAGTTTATTACAGGTGTGGGAGGGGAAGGAGTTAAACATGAAAACTACCAGTCCCTCCCGACACCGACAAGGTTTTAAACATGATGGACTAGAATCCAGTCTGTTCTGGGATGGCCCAGAGCGGGTTCTGTGCCTGGCCCTGGGGAAATGGGTTAGCGCAGGGGGGCTGGAAATCAGTCTCCTATTATAAGGTGGGTGCACAACTGGTTGGAAAACTGAGTGTAATTATCAATGGTTCACAATCAAGTTGGAAGGGAATATCGAGTAGTGTCCTGCAAAGATCTGTCCTGGGTCCGGTTCTAGTTAATACCTTCACCAATGATTTGGATAACGGCATAGAAAGTACACTTAAGAACATAAGAACGGCCATACTGGGTCAGACCAAAGGTCCATCTAGCCCAGTGTCCTGTCTTCTGACAGTGGCCAATGCCAGGTGCCCCAAAGGGAATGAACAGAACAGGTGATCATCAAGTGATCCATCCCCTGTCGCCCATTCCCAGCTTCTGGCAAACAGAGGCTAGGGACACTTACAAAGTTTTGCGGATGATACCAAGCTGGGCGGGGTTGCGAGCGCTTTGGAGGGCTGGATTAGAATTCAAAATGATCAACTGGAGAAATGGTCTGAAATAAAGAGGCTGAAATTCAGTAAGGACAAATGCAACGTACGCCACGTAGGAGGGATCTGGGAGTTAGAGTGGATCACAAACGAAATATGAGTCAACGATGTAACGCTGTTGCATAAAAAAGTGAAGTCAGTCTGGGCTGTATTCGTAGGCGTGCTGTGAGCAAGACACGCAAAGTAATTCTTCCGCTCTACTCCGCGCTGATAAGGCCGCCACTGGTGTATTGTGTCCCGTTGTGGGCACTACACTTCGGGAAAGATGTGGACCAATTGGAGAAAGTCCAGCGAGAGCAACAAAAATGAGTAAAGGTCTAGAAAACAGGACCTATGAGGGAAGATTGAAAAAACGGGGTTTGTTTAGTCTGGAGAAGAGAAGACTGAGAGGGGACGTGATCACAGTTTTCAAGTACATAAAAGGTTGTTACAAGGAGGAGGGAGAAAAATTGTTCTTCTTAACGTCCAAGGACAGGGCAAGAAGCAATGGGCTTAAATTGCAGCCAGGGAGATTTAGGTTGGGCATTAGGAAAAACTTCCTAACTGTCAGGGTGGTTAAGCTCGGGAACAAATCACCCAACGATATTGCGGAATCTCCATCACTGGAGGTTTTTAAGAACAGCTGAGACAAACCCCTGTCAGGGATGGTCTAGATAATACTTAGTCCTGCCTCAGTGCAGGGGACTGGACTAGATGACTATTGAGGTCCCTTCCAGTCCTACATTTCTAATGATTTCTGTGTCTTCTGGGGTCTATTGCCAGCTCTGGGAGGGGAGTGAGGTCTAGTGATTTGAGCAGGGGAGGAGGTGGGGCTGGGAGTCAGGACTCCTGGGTTCTGTTCTTGGCCTAGGGAGAGGAGGGCAGTAGTGATCAGTAGGCACGGCCTTATATGTCGGATGTTCTGGGTGTCAGTCTGAGCAGCCAATGCATCTGGGATCCTCTGCTGGCCCTGGGGAGAGAGATCCGTGCCAGCTGAGGTTGGAGCCCTGTCTCTTCCACAGGTGTGTGTGTGTGTAGTGGGGGGGGGCACAGAGTGCTGTGGGCTGGGCTGTTCCTTACTTTGTTAGCTTCCGAGCTTGGCTTCCCCGTGGGCAGCCCTCAGGTGGAGCAGCAGGGGGAGGAAGGTTGGAAGAGGGGAAATGGGCAGGTAGGGAAGGAGTATGGAAGGGAAAGGAGGAGAACCTACCCATTGCCCCCTATCCCAGTCCAGCAGAGCCTGTCTCCCTCGAGCCAGCTCTGGGACGGAGACCCTGCGTTGCAGAGAGAGAGAGGAGGGGTCTGAGCTGGAGCGGATATGGGACACCTCATGCTTTGTCTAAGGTGGGGGGGGGAAAGGGAGATTCTTAGTCTGCCTCCAGCTCCAGATTTTCTAGAACTTTGCCAACTGGAGGTTGCACTTGGCCCCAGCTACACGTGATCTCTGAGCCGCAACAGGGTTCTCAGTTTGGTTGGTTGGTCTAACTGGGCCACCTCACAGAGGTGGGGCTGGTTTTGGGGGGGGGCGCTGTGGAATCTCAGCTTCTATTTAAAAGTCTCATTAAGTCTCTAGGTCTTATGCAGAGAAAACCTTGAGCATCATGAACCGAATGCACCAGGTCTGCCGCCAACAGCTCTGAGAGAAAGGCAAACTGACCTCCTGTAGCTCCGTGGCATGTTGACTCTGAAACCTAGCAATGGCACGCCACATCTCAATGTTAACTCTCTAATTGCTGCTCAAAGCCAGATGCGCTATTCCAGAGCTGGGAAAGGAACCCAGGAGTCCTGACTGCCCGTGTCACCGCTCTAACCCATGCCCCTCCCAGAGCTGGGCACAGAACCCTCTCTGGGCCACCCCAGAACAGATTGTGGATTCTATTCCATTGTGTTTAAAACCTTTTCAGCGTTGGAGGGGATAGTAACTTTCACATTTAACTCCTTCTCCTCTCTCACCGGGACAATCTACTGTAAATGGTACCTCAATTTGTCGTCTTGAGTGGGCGGGGCTTGCGTTGTGGGTGTGGCTTGTGAGAATGACTCACTCCCCTCCCGGTTTGACCCCCACATTGCTCATCTGGGCAGGGATCTCTTTATTCCTCACAGTGGCATGCTCCCCCAGTTACAAATACCATGGGAGCGCTATGGGCTGATGGCTACAGCACTGGGCTGAGATGAGGGGGAGCTGGGTACTATTCTTGGTGCTGCCACTGGCCCGATGGGAGGGCTTGTCTTTTCCCAGCTCCGTGCCTCAGTTTCCCCAACTGTAAATGGGGCTACTGCCCTGCTTTGTAAAGCTTTGAGATCCACCGATTAAAAAACACTATATAAAAGCTATACATTATATTCCCGTCCAGCTCTGGGGATAGAACCCAGGAGTCCTGACTCCCAGCCCCACCTGCTCTAACCACTAGACCTCACTCCCCTCCCAGAGCTGGGATCTATTTCATGGCGGAAGTATAGCTCCTATATATGGCATTATAATGAATTATTACTGAATGCCCTTTGAAAGATAATGGCTTAAATCAGAGACTCCCCGCCTGGGGTCGCGTGCCCCATGGTGGGGGGAGGGGGGTCACAAGCAGGTTTCCAGGGGTCACACCCATCCCCTCCCTTTCTGAATGGGGAGACGCAAGGGGCTCCTGAATGTCCTGGTGGGGGGATCCCGGTGCGATTTGCCCGGTGTAACACTGGAGGGGGCAACTCTTAGGAGCAGATTGGGAACCACGGGGTTAAATTAAAGGGGGTGGGGGAGGAACTATTACAACCTATGACCCAGGCAGCACCAGGCTATTCCACTGCAGGTCACCCTGAGATCTGGGGTCCCCCCCCCCAGCAGCCCTCCTCCCCCCAGCCTCACACAAGTCCACCTGACTCCCTGCAAAGCAGCTGTCCCCACAGCTCCCCGCCCCCTACCCCCAGCCCATAATGCAATTACTTGGAATGAAGCTGCATTAGTCCCGGGGCGAGCGCTGGGTACCAGGAAGGCAGCAGGTGCCTGGGACGCGGCGGGGGCTGCTGGGGAGGAAATGCAGTTTGCAAGGCCCTGGCCGAGCAGCGCAATCACATTATGTCCCTGCCCCTCGGCGCAGCGCCGGCTCACAAGCCAGTAACTCAATAACGCGGCTGCTCACCTCGGCGCTGGGTGCACAACACCTGTCCCGAGCGCCTGGCGGACCTCCCTGCTTGGGGGAGGACGCGGGCACCAGGGGCTGAGCTGTGCAACAGAAGCAGCGTTTGCTCTGTCTGCTCCCTGTGGCTATTGGGGGGTGGCTCAGGACTCCTGGGTTCTATTCCCAGCTCCGGGAGGGGACTGGGGACTCCTGGGTTCTGTTCTTGGCTTTGCCACTGACGTGCTGCGAAAAATCACTTCCTGCCTTCGCCCCGGTGAGGGATTGCGTGAGTTAATAAGGCAGCTTCCCCAGCGCTGGGTTTGGGGGAAAGTCGGGACTGGGGGGTGTGCTGGGGTCACCACGCCTGGGGGAGCTCAGGGGGTGGCTGGGGGGGGTGACAAGCAGGCTGCTGGAGTCAGAGCTGCTCAACACGTAGTCGGGCTGGGAGCTAGTGCAGCTGAACATTTTAAGGCACTCAAGGTTACCGGACCAGCAGTGACACCACTTCTCACTGGTCTGGGTTGCCCCCGCAAAATGTGACAGGCGGAGACTCAGGCGATCTCGGATCTATTCCCGGCTCAGCTGCTAGCCTGCTGGCAAGTCACTTCGCCTCTCTGTGCCTCGGTTTCCCCGTCATAAAATGGAGATCAGAATACTGATGACCTTTTTCAAAGTGCTCTGAGAGCCACGCGTGATAACAGCTAGGGCTGTCTTATTATTAATCTCCTCTCCGCCATTTCCGTTAGCACGAATACGTCTAACTCTTGTGACAACAGGGTCAGATCTGCCCTTGTGACGCCCCTGACTTGCTGGATCTTGCACCAGGAATGGAGTTTTCTTGCTGCTTTTTATCCCTTGCTTTCTGCTCCCTGGGGCCCTCATTGGAAGCCTGAGTATGAATTAACGTGGCAGGTGCAGGGGGTGGGGGTGGTCTTCGTTTTGCTCTTGAACTCTCGGTGCAAACGGGCTTTGAGTGTCCATTGGTCTGAGCTGGAATGTGAGCAAACTGCAGGCCTGGGACCCAGGACAGAGCATTCCCAGGCAGGAAAGCTCCCCATCTCCCACCCCATCCAATTGCTCTGGAGCTCAGGGGGGAAGTTCTCCGTCGTTCTCAAGGGGGGCTGCCGGGTGGGCTTTTGAAAGATGCAGACCCACGGAGTATTGACTCTCCTCGGCGGTTCGTGTTCTCTTTAGCTCGCTCGGCGGGTCCGAGTGGGGCAGCGACACCCCGGCAAGCGAACCAGGGACGCCCCCATTCCCTGAACTAAAGCAGAAGCTGCTACAACTTGAACTCCAGCCAGGAATACCTCACTGGGGCCTGCAACAGTCTCAGCTCCTCTGCAGATGGCAGCGGGATATTGACTAGGGATGGAGGAGAGATGGAATTGGAGCCGGTGGGTTAGATGAGCACAGATGTGGCCGGAGGGTTGCGCACGGGCCGAGCCTTTAGGCTTCGTCTTGGCTAGGAAACCTGGCTGCATTTAGATCAGGCTGAGAAAGCACAGGCCACAGAAGCCCAATCTAAACTTAGCTGATTTCCTTTGCAAGACAAAGCCATCCATGCACTGATGCATGATCAGTGGAGGCCTGATTCCCCACTGAGCTATGCCTTGCACCCAGGCTAAATGTTACCCGCTCAGAATGGGGGTGAGGCTCACCAGGGCTGCGCAACGCACAGGGCGAGGGAGGATCTGCCCTTCCGTGCAAACACGCTCGTGTTACGTGGCTCAGTCCCCAGGCGCCGGCTTTAAGTGGGAAGGAAGCAGGACTGGGGGGGATAAATGGCAGCTGGAGTGCTGCTGGGTTTCCTTCAGAGATCGGACGAGCGCGCTCGCTTCTTCCTGGGAAATCTGCATGCTAAGAACCTGCAAGGGGCTGTCCAAATCAATAAGGTGCCTGCAGAGCAGAGATGGCAGCCTCCTTCTCAGAGTCAGCCCCGGGGTCAGCGGCTGTCGAGTCGCGACCGCTCTCCTCGTGACAGCTGGAGATCAAATCCAGAGGCTCGATGGCATCGCCTGGGTGATGGGCAGTAATTGCTGGAGGGGAGCGGCCCGGGTAGCAAAGACTAGGAGCTTCTGCGGGCTGCAGATAAATGCCTGTGGTGCCTTTCCTTTCGCCTGCATCAGACTAGCGGCTAACAGGGTCAGTTGCTAGGGTTGGATCAGGCCAGCACTGCAATGCAGCTACCTCTAGGGTGAGGCACAGCTGCAGGGTACACAGGGATCGATCACGCGGTGCTGAAATGCAGCCACCTCTGGGGTGGAACCTAGCCGCTGTTTCATTGCTGCACAGCGATGTGACACAGCAGGATACTGACTAGGGATGGGAGTGAACCACGTGGATGAAGGATTTCCTCTTTCACCGGGAAGACGGGATCCGGAGCTGGCAGATCAAACCCGTGGCCAATCCTGTGACCTCCTAACGCGCCCCCCGCTCCCGTGAAATGCCCCACAATGGCCTTTGGATGCGCAGAATCAGATTCCTTAAAGGCCCCCACCCACTTGAGGTTGTCTGGAGCAGCTGGCTGTGCCATGCCAGCCCTATGGCCCCTGTCCTAGAGCTAGGGAAAGAATGGCTTTTTCGTTTCACGGGCAAGTCTGAAAAATGGGGTGGGGAGGGAGGGTATCATTTCGGGTGGGACTTCACTGAAAACAAAATTTTCAAAAACTTTTGGCAACTCGAAAAGTTGGGCGCGGGGGGAGAGAGAGGAGGAGGAACAGTTTCGGGCCAAACAAAACTTTTCAATAAAAGTAACTGGTTGTAAAACTTTCCTGCCCCCGGTTGTGGAGACGAACCTGCTGCTTTAGAAAGCAGGTAGGAAAGGAGCTCAAGGCATCTCCCGTTTCAGCTTTACAATCCTTTGCGGGAGACAACAATACCCAGGGCAGACTGCACCTAGCTGGGGCCAGGAAGGGACACCCTGCCCGATCTGAAGGTCGGCCCAGATTGCCATGCTGCCTGGCGTGGTGTTTTCAGGATCAGCTCCATTTTAATTCCCTCCCACCCTGGCCTGGGACCCTGAAATGCCAGGTCTCTGTTTTCTTTTCCTTCCCTCTCTACAGGACCAGCTCCAGGGTTTTTGCCGCCCCAAGCGGCGAAAAAAAAAAAAGCCGCGCTCGCAATTGCGATTGGCAGCACTCCGGCGGCAGCTTCACCGCGCCGCTTTCTTCTTCGGCGGGAATTCCAAGAGGGACCCGCCGCCGAATTGCCGCTGAACAGCCCGACGTGCCGCTCCTTCCCCTTGGCCGCCCCAAGCACCTGCTTCCTGGGTTGGTGCCTGGAGCCGGCCCTGCCTCTCTAGCGATCGTATCTATCGACTTTGACCACTCTTCAACGTTTTCAGGCGGCTTTAAAGGCAATGTTGAATAAAAAGTCATTTCAAAGTGAAAAATCAAAACTTTTGTTTAAGATGTCGAAATGAAGCATTTTCATTTTTTCTCATTTCTTTTTACTTTTTCCAAATTTTTGCAGCAAAACCAATTTGCTGAAACAACCCAAATGCGTAAAATTTTGGTTCTGGGGTCTAGAGAGATGGATTTATTGGGTTCTGGGGTCTAGAGAGACGGATCTAGGGTCTAGAGAGATGGATTTATTGGGTTCTGGGGTCTAGAGAGACGGATCTAGGGTCTAGAGAGATGGATTTATTGGTTCTGGGGTCTAAGAGACGGATCTAGGGTCTAGAGAGATGGATTTATTGGTTCTGGGGTCTAGAGAGACGGATCTAGGGTCTAGAGAGATGGATTTATTGGTTCTGGGGTCTAGAGAGACGGATCTAGGGTCTAGAGAGATGGATTTATTTATTTTTAATTAAATGGAAGCTTAGATTCCAGCAGACAAATCTGCAGCCACAAATTGCAAATGAGCCTGCCTATAAGATCAGCATCTAAGGCACCCCCAGCATCCCAGGGCCCCAGGCTCTTATATGTCGGGCCCTATCAAATTCACGGTCCATTTTGGTCAATTTCACGGTCATAGGATTTTAAAAATTGGAAATGTCATGATTTCAGCTATTTAAATCTGAAATTTCATGGTGGGGTAATTGTAGGGGTCCTAACCCAAAAAAGGAGTTGTGGGGGGATCACAAAGGTTATTGTAGGGGACGTGGGGTTTGCGGTATTTCTACCCTTACTTCTGTGCTGCTGCTGACGGCGGTGCTGCCTGCAGAGCTGGGCTCCCAGCCAGCAACCACCGCTCTCCAGTTGCCCAGCTCTGAAGGCAGCACAGAAGTAAGGGTGGCAATACCGTGACCCCCCTAAAATAACCTTGTGACCCCCCCCTGCAACTCCTTTTTGGGTCAGGACCCCCAATTTGAGAAACGCTGCTGTCCCCCGTGAAATCTGTATAGTATAGGGTAAAAGCACACAAAAGATCAGATTTCACAGGAGGAGACCAAATTTCACAGTCCGTGACGCGTTTCTCATGGCCAAGAACTTGGTAGGGCCTTACTTATATGCATAGCTGCTTCCTTCTCCGTAACAGGCAATACTTAGTTGTGGCTCTTCAGAAATTTGAAGAACAGCATCAGCCCCATAACTAAGCTTGGCAGAATTGGAGTTTTATTTTTCTATCATTTTGATGGGTTGTATCGATGTTTATTTGTAAGCATTTTTTGCAGATATTTATCGATTTAAAGTTTCACGGTTGCGCAAAATGATGCGTTTGAAGCCTCTATTGAAACATTTTTATCGATTGAAACTTTCACAGTCCCAGGAAATTGTGAGGGGGCGACAGACAACGGGGAGGAGGGTCAGACAATAATTATTTAATGACAGTAGGGGCTGAGATGTAAAAGTTAAAGCTTTAGAACTGTTAAAACACAAATCGTCAACGTCACATGTCAAAACAGACAAAGTTAATATCCTTAACTCCAACTCTAATGAGTTCGCTGGCAGGATTTTTCTTACGCTGCCTATCTGTGCATTTCAATTGTTATCGATGGAAAGAATGTTTCTTCGCTTTGGTTTGTGTGCCCACACCCATGTGCGCTGTGAAATGAACGTTGCCTGACATTTACTGATGAAAGTCAAATCCTTCCAAGCTTAACCATAACTAAGCAGGTTTTTTCCTTCAAATCATAAACATCAGGGCAAGGCCTGCGAGGAGACGTAGTGCTGGATGGGGGATTGTGCTTTGAGGGGTGAGCGATCAGGGCGTTTGGATATTTCAGGGATGGCAGACCTTGACAGTAAGGTTCTCAGAAGATCTTGTGCTTAAGAGATTAGGACTCAAGAGACATTGGGTTTCTACCCTGGCTCTGGCTGACACGGGGTACATCACTTAATCGCTCCGTGCCTCAGTTTCCCTCTCAGTAAACTGGAGGTAATGATCCTCTCTTGGTTTATTTAGACGGTGAGCTCATCGATTCCAAGGCCAGTCGGGATCATCTAGACTGGCCGCTTGTATAGCACGGGCCAGAGAACTGCCCCGAAATAATTCCAGAGCCGCTCTGTTAGAAAAACATCCCTTCTTGATTTATGAATCGTCAGCGATGGGGAACCCACCACGACCCTGGGTAAGTTGTTCCAGTGGTTAATGACTCTCACCGTCAAAAAAATTACACCTTATTTCCAGTCTGAATGTGTCTAGCTTCAGCGTCCAGCCATTGGGTCGTGTTAGACCTGCCTCTGCTAGGCTGAAGAGCCCATGATTCAATATTTGTTCCCCACATAGATATTGATAGACTGCGATCGAGTCACCCCTTCCCCTTCTTTTTGTTAAGCGAAATAGATTGAGCTCCTTGCGTCTCTCACTGTAAGGCCGGTTTTCTAATCCTTTAATCATTCTCGTGGCTCTTCTCTGACCCCCTCCAATTCATCAACATCCTCCTTGAATGGTGGGCCCCAGAACCGGACACAGGATCCCAGCTGCGGTCGCACCAGGGCCAAACACAGAGGGGAAAATAACCTCTCCGCTCCTGCTTGAGATTTCCCGGCTTCTGCATCAGCCCTTTTGGTCACAGTGGGAGCTCATGGTCAGCTGATTATCCATCACCCCTCCCCCCGCCCCAAAAACCCTTTTTCAGAGTCACTGCCTCGCAGGAGAGAGCCCCCCATCCTGCAAGCTCCTTGGAGCGGGGACAGTGTCTGTGCAGCACCTGGCACAATAGGGCTCCTCCCAGGTGCTACCGTAATGGCAGGTAGGTGGAAAAAGCGTGGGGGGGGGGGAGGGCTCAGTTGGACTCAGCGTTCTGCATCATTCTGGGGTCCGGAGGCGGGTTTGCTGCGTGACGCCTCCTGCCTGCGCCCAGGGAAAGTTTGATGGTGGCTGCCTCAGAAATTCTATTTCCCCATTCCTGCCTTTTCCATCTTTGGGGGTTTGGGAATCCCTTGCCCCAGCAGGACAGCTCCCCCGCGTCGCCAGGCCTCTCCAGGGACTCATTGGTGTCACCGCAACCAAAATTGGGGGCGGGGGTGGCAGAAATGTGCTGGGGGCTGCACAGACACATGAGATCTTGCCGTAGGCACCGGGATAGGAAAGGGCATGGCCACGGTCACATGGACTAGGATCAGCACACAGGTCTGTGGGCTCACAATCTGGTGCCCTGTTCTCCAGACTAAGTTGCACATGTATGTATTAGCGGGGACCTCCCGGCTCCTCCGGACATTCAGAGCAATCTACTGACTGATGCAGCCACTCAAGAAGCTCATCTTCGCCCCAGGGGCGATATAATTCCTGCTGGCCCGGGCAGGGGGAGAATCTCCAGTGCCCAAAGGTGGCAGCAAAATGCACTAAGTGCCGGGCTCACGGGATGGCAGCGAGGGCATCTCTAACAATTGTATCTGCCTCTGAACTCCCCCAAACTCCTTGGCTCTGGTGGTCTGTCCTGGCCCATTGAGGGTGGTTTGCAGATCCCCCCCGGTTTGGTTCGGGCACAGCTCTCATTTTAACACATAAAATCAAATTAAACCTGCCCCCATTCTCTGGCCCCCATGGCCATGTCATGCAATAGACACTCAGAATGGGATCGTGCTGACGGGACGACAGGTGCAAACAGCCAGGGATTGCTCATCCAGCGCTGAAATGCAGCCACCTCTAGGGTGGGGCACCACAACAGCGATTGCTCACCCAGTGCCAAAATGCAGCTGCCTCTGGGATGGGATTCAGGGGCTATTTATACATGTATCGCTCGTGCAGCACTGAAATGCAGCCACCTCTGGCATAGGGCACGGTGGCTTTTTATACAGGGATTGCTCAGCCAGTGCTGAAATGCAGCCACCTCTGGGGTGGAACATAGCTGTTGTCTGACATTGGCACAGCAAAATGGTGCAGCAGTTTTAGGGGAGAAAGTATCCTGCTTCTGTTTGAAATTGCGGGGGTATTTAAGGAGGAAAAGTGCAATTACCCGGGATGGAATCGATATCCCTAATCCCACGGAAAGTGCCACGGGGATCTGACCACACTACAAGCAGCCAGGCCTTCAGTTTTGCACCTCATGGACATCTTCAGCAGCACAGCGCCCCCTAGCACCACATGGGGTCAGCACTAACTCAGAGGGGAAGAGCGCCACCTACCCCACTCCCTGCAGCACAGCACCCCCTAGTGGGTCAGTACAGTACTAACTCAGAATGGGAGAGCGACTCCCACAGAGCCACCCATCCCACTCCCTGCAGCACAGCGCCCCCTATGGCCCCATTAGTGTCAGCCCTGCCTCTGATGGAATAGCACCATCTCCCCGTTTGCAGTACCGCGGGGTTGTCTGACTTGTCTCCAACCCAAGTACTGGGCCAGCCTGATCTGCACAGCTTGGGAGCTCAAAGCGGACACCAGGCAAGGGGCGATGGGTGTTCACATGTAAAAAGTATGGGCCGTTCCCTTTGGATTGGGAGGGGGCCACAGCTAGATTCCACACCGGTGCACAGAGGGGGCTGAAGGCCACCCAACGGGAATGGCAGTCACTTCACGACACAAGGCAAGCCACGCAGAACGGGGCCCCCAGAGGGCAAAGCAACGGAGAATCGGGACCCAAGGAAATTGCTTTGCCGGGGCGGGCTCCAGGCACCTCTGCACCGTGTCTGTCACTGGCCTGGGTGGGTGGCTGAGGGGAGGGGAAGGGAAGGGGAGGGGACTGACCATTGCTGTTTAAAATATTACCATATGCCTCTTCTGACAATTAGACAGCTGTAATGAGAGCTCTCCAGCGATAATTAGCCTGATCCGTCTGGCTCAGCCACGCTTGCCCTGAAACGTCAGGGCTCCGAGCTGCAAGGCAGGGCGGCACCGGGAGCAGAGACCATGAATCCGCTGCCTCCCCCGGGGTGACCTGTGGAGCCTACGGCCAAAACCTGCCGCGCTTCCCTAGGCCTGGGGTGGGCAGGGGAGATGGAGAGGCCAGTCTGGCCCAATCCAGCACCCCCTGGAGTGAATGGAAAGTGTCCCATTGGCTTCAGTGGGCATCGGTTCAGGCCCATAGCCTGGGGAAATTGGGAGCAGCTGGTCCAGGTTCTGTTACATCCAGCGCCCCTGGGGGGCGGATTGGGGGCGTGGACGGAGCACGCTGAGCTGTGGGTGTTCTCTGCCCCCAAGGGCCTATACGGGGACCGGATCTCTCACCAGCCAAGGAGGAGAGGGAACTGGGAGGGGAGTCGAGTGGAGGGGGGGATGTGCACTCTGCTTTTAACAGAAGAGGGGCCCTGTTCTGCCCCCCGGTGCTTTCACCCCTTCTCGCTAGACAGGGAGAGTTTTCCCTGATGTTCAGCCTTTGCTGAGCTCCTAGGCCCTCCCCCCATGCACCGCCCCAACCCGCGCCATCTGGCGATGGGGTTTGCCCCCCTTTCCAATAGACACACACCATTGTCCCATCCTCCCCTCCACACACATTCCCCATTAGCCAGGCAATGCTCAGTTCATCTCTCTCCCCAGGTTGGCCTCTGCATCCCCTTTAACCCGTTAATTCCCGGGAAGCCGGGACTCACCTGCAAAATGTGTCCTCCCAGATGCTGTTCAAAGAGCTTGGTCAGCAGAGCTGCCATGTTCCTCCTGCCGGGACCTGCAGAGAGGAATGCAAGCGGTCAGAGCCGGCCCCCTGCTGCATGGCGCCCGCTCCCCCCAGCCCGTGGGTGCAGGCTGCAGGGAGATACTCTGGCATTATGGGTGTGATTGTGAGGGACCGGGTCACACCGGTTCCAAGCCTGATGGAACCAGTACCCTCCAGTTCCCTCCTCTTGCCCGAGTCACTCTCCCCACCCCACCCCGTGCCTCAGTTTCCCAGTAAAATGGGGATGGTAGAGAATACGTCCCTAACTCCCCAGGAGCGCAGGGGGGTCGTGAGTCAGTGACAGAGCTTTGCCTGTCTTTAGCAGCTGCAATCAGAGGAGCTCAAAGCATTTTGTAAACGTGACTGATTTAGGCCTCAGACACATGCATGCTGGGGGTGGGGTGGGGGGCAGGTAAACCCCCACGTGAAGGATGGAGCAAACCAAGGTACAGAAGTTGCTTAAGGCACCGAGTGAGTCAAGGGCAGAAGCAGGAACAGAACCCAGGAGCTCTGGCTCCCAAATCTCTGCTTTAACCATTAAGCCCCCCTCCCAGCGTTGGGAATAAACCCAAGAAGCTGACTCCCAGCACCCTCCCAACCATTAGGTCCTGCTCCCCTCCGAGAGGCAGGGATAGAACCCAGGAGTCCTGATTCCCAGCCCCACCCCTTTTTGCTGTAACCACTAGACCCCACCCGCCACCCAGTGGGAATTTTCCAAACCATCCTTGGCTTTGAGTGATGCCCCAGTGGCTGACAGCTCACAACGCAGGCCTGTTTCACCAGACCTGATCGGCGACGGGGGCGGAGTGCAGGACGGGGTGGGGGGATGCAGACCGAGACCAGACCATGGGGGGTGGGGGCACAGCAGGAATCTGTGTTGTGGGGACAGGGGGGGAAGTAGACAGCAGTACAGGCCCTGAGCCAGCCCCCTCCCCTGCCGCTGGAGACAGGGGGGAGAATCAGGGTCTCTTGTGCCTCCCAGCATCTCAGCTGTTCTCACTTGGGGGAAAGGCAAGTCGCTGAAATGAACGCAGGGTCACGGCGAAATACTTATGTTCCCCCTCCACCACCCACCTGGAGCCTGGAGG